CTCAATGTTGGTCGACTGAACACTGCTGAAGAACAGTACTGTGTGTAGTAGTGGTGAGGAGTGCACACCACCTGTACACTACCATCAGCAGTGTGCAGTGCTGTACAGCTACAGTAGTCTTCGTGACGGTGGTGGTGGTGAAGGTAATGATGATGATAATGGTGAAGGTAGCAGCAGCAGCTAGTCCAGGAGAAAGGTGTGCTCGTTAATTTGTCTTCTTCTTTTTGCCTTCTTTTCGAGCCAGCGAGAGNGAAGGTAGCAGCAGCAGCTAGTCCAGGAGAAAGGTGTGCTCGTTAATTTGTCTTCTTCTTTTTGCCTTCTTTTCGAGCCAGCCAGAGAGTTGGAGTGAAGTGTGGGGAGGCAACGAGGATGATTGTGCTGCTGCTGCCGCGGCTTTTGTGTATGTGTCTACTTTCTCTCCCTGCTTTTGCTGGCGTCTCTTTGCTGTTGTTGATGATGATGATCGGCAGTGTCTGTGTCTGCTGTGTCTGACAGCCCGCTCAGTTGCGTAATGGAAAGAGAGAAAGACAGGTATACTCACTGTGTGTGTGTGTGTGTTTGCTGGGCGAGGATCGCGGCCGCAAAAGCAGGCACTACAGGCTGCGGCTCAACAAGTGAGAAGGGAAAGGAAGGCAGAGAGTGGTGGAGGAAAACAAACGAGTGCAGGAGGCAGAGCACAGATCTGTGTGTGTGTGACTCTCCAGAGTCTGCAAAGAGCGAGATCCACTGTGGCAGTGCTGCAGTGGTGGTGGTGGTCACTGCCGACCAACTCGTGAGCATCATCTCCTTCAGCGAGTACACTTGGGTCACTCTCACAAGAAGTGACCTGGCCAGGATGCAGATTTGGGGGGGGGATCACTGTTCCCAGCGCTGAATTTGTATTTCAATGTTATTGACATTCTTTTACAGGCGCACAAATTAAGAAAATAAAGGGGGCAAGAATTAGTTTTGCTGCTGCTGCTGCTGCTGCTGCTGCCTCTGCTCTAGTCTTCTCTAAAAGTCCATGGAGCACTCGAGATCAAAGGCGATGCTCTCGATGGAGCAGCGGAAGAGGGCCATAAACTGGACGGCAAAGAGCTCCAGGTGGATGAGCGACTTGGAGCCGAGGGCGAGGCGCTGGTCGACGGCGGCCGCCAGCCGGATCAGCTGGCCGCTCATCTCGCCGTCCAGACAGCGAGGTAGCAGCTGGAGGAGGAGCAGACGGAGCACCAGCTCCGGCGGGATGAGGTGCACCTGCAGCTCCGAGAGGATGGTTCGAATTTCGCCCACCTTCCGCGGCGACTGCGACTCGACCAGCGAGGTGGCCAGCTTGTTGATCAGCTCCTGCCAGCGAAAGCTGAGGATGGCTGTAGAATTCTTACTGCTCCCAGCCGCCTCCTGATTGCAGGCAAAGGCCTGCAGCATGAGAATCGCCCGGCGGAGGTTGCCATCACAGCCGTCGACGATCTTCTTGATGGCCGCTGGTAGCGCCGGTGAACTGAAGTCCTCCAGGGTGGCCACCTTCTGGAGGATGGCGGTGATCTCCGCCGCGCTCGGCGCCGCATTTCGAACCGCCAGACAACGGGACTTGAGGGCGGGAATGAGGCGACTGACCCGCTCGCCGACCAGTATCACCCGACAGCTGCTGACGTACTTCTCCAGCGTCCGGCGGAGGCCCTGCTGCGCCTCCCGCGTCAGGCGGTCCGCCTCGTGGACTACCACAACCTTGAAGGGATGTCGCTTCGAAAGGGAGTCACTGGTGGCGACGTCCTTCAGCAGCTGCTGGACGACGACGCGGTCGTAGAAGCCGCTCTCGCTGGGGTTCACCTCGATGTGGAAGTTGCTGGTGACGTAGCGCTGTTCGATCTTCTTGCCGGAGGGCGCCTCGTAGACCTTCGACTCGATGCGCAGCTTCGTCGAGGAGACGTCGAAGAGCTCGTAGAGGAGGGCCTTCACGCGGGTCATCTTTCCGCTGCCGGAGGTGCCGAAGACCGCCAGGTGGGGGAAGTTCTCATTGGCGAGTAGCTTTTTGAGCATCGCCGCCTGCGGGCGGTTGAAGTCCAGCTCGGCCAGCGTCTTCGGCCGGTACTTGTCGCACCACAACGACATGATGGAGGTGGTAGGGAGTAGCTGTGGTGGTGACGCTGTGTCAGGCAGTGAAACCTCGAAGTTGAAAGAAGAAGTTTGGCAAGGTGATGATGATGATGATGATGGGAAAAGCCGCGAAAACAAATCGAGAAAGAAAGAGGAAAGCACAACAAACGAGAAACAGTTTCCGCAGTCTAGTGCTGGTCGCCTGCGGCAATCTTCCTGGAAGGCTAAAATGTTTTTGTTTTCACATTTTTTTGCAATTTGATTTGAAACTTCAAGAACTGAATTCTACTTCATTTAATTCTTTTAGATTTTAAGCCCATTCCCCATGTTTGACCCAGATTCCGATCAGGAAGAGCAATGCTACTACCCGGCCATCCAGGGATGTCGCTACGTGGAGTCTTTTCAGTTTCTGAATCGCGTCGAGGAGGGCAAGTGTTTCACGTCATTCCGTTTCACCTTCTGTNCCAGGGATGTCGCTACGTAGAGTCCTTTCAGTTTCTGAACCGCGTCGAGGAGGGCAAGTGTTTTCTGCTCTCACGTCTGTCATTTGTAATCAACTTCTTTTTACCCATCTAGGAACCTACGGCGTTGTGTACCGCGCCAAGGACAAAGAAAGCGGCGAAATCGTGGCGCTGAAGCGCCTCAAGATGGACATGGAGAAGGAGGGCTTCCCGATTACCAGTCTGCGGGAGATTAGCACACTGCTGAAGGCGAGACACGAAAACGTGGTCGGCGTGAAGGAGATCGTCGTCGGCAGCAATCACCTCGACAAGATCTACCTGGTGATGGAGTACGTCGACCGCGACCTGAAGTCGATGATGGACTCGCAGAATGTGCCCTTCACCATCACCCAGGTCAAGTCGATCCTCTACCAGCTCATCTCCGCCATCGCCCACCTGCACGCCAACTGGATCCTCCACCGCGACCTGAAGACCAGCAACCTGCTGGTCAGCAAGGAGGGCGTCCTCAAGGTGGGCGACTTTGGGCTGGCCCGCGAGTACGGCTCGCCCCTCAAGGACTACACGCCGCTGGTGGTGACGCTGTGGTACCGGGCGCCGGAGCTGCTGCTCCAGGCCGGCCGCTACTCCTACCCGGTGGACAACTGGAGCATCGGCTGCATCTTCGCCGAGCTGGTCACCTTCAAGCCGCTCTTCCAGGGCAAGTCGGAGATCGAGCAGCTGAACCTCATCTTCAAGGAGCTCGGGACGCCCTCGGAGAAGATCTGGCCCGGCTACGAGAAGCTGCCCGTCGTGCAGAAGGTCCAGTTTACCGAGTATCCCTACAACAGTCTGCACAACCGGCTCGGGCGGCGGCTGGGGGAGACTGGTTTCTCGCTGCTCAATCGCTTCCTCACCTACTACCCGGAGAAGCGGGTCACCGCGGAGGTGGCCCTGGAGGACCCGTTCTTTGACTCGATTCTCCCGAAGATCTTCACGCCGGAGCAGATCTACNGAGAAGATCTGGCCCGGCTACGAGAAGCTGCCCGTCGTGCAGAAGGTCCAGTTTACCGAGTATCCCTACAACAGTCTGCACAACCGGCTCGGGCGGCGGCTGGGGGAGACTGGTTTCTCGCTGCTCAATCGCTTCCTCACCTACTACCCGGAGAAGCGGGTCACCGCGGAGGTGGCCCTGGAGGACCCGTTCTTTGACTCGATTCTCCCGAAGATCTTCACGCCGGAGCAGATCTACAAGAGCACGGAGAGCGCCGCCTCCAGTAGCTTCATTGGGCGGTAGCCTGTTCTTTTATACACTCTTCTTCTTCCTTATCTTGTACAAAGACGTCTCTGTATATTGCTCATGTATCTTCTTCTCTTGAACACTTTTTTCTGTATTAAATCGTCTGAAATTCTTTGAATTCTTGATTCTTTACTTTTGCATACTGAGCTGACTCCATCTGGTGACCAGCAATGGCAGTTATTCTTTAGCGTAAGAGATGTAAACATCAGTTACTGCGACATTGCAGCATGTGTGATCTGCACTTCCACCACCACCAGATTTCTTGGAAGACACCACACCAGTGCTCTTCTATTTGCAATTATCATCATTATCAACAGCAGACCATTGTTTTCTGATAAACAGAGCTTTTAGAGTTTGGTGATAACAAGGATGGTGAGGATGGTTTAGAGAAGAAGAAGAAGAGGAAGAAGTGAGATACACCAAATGGCTTCGAAGTTGGTAGCTAAGTCGTCGCCAAGTCTACCGCTGCCTTATCATCACCACTACCATCACTGCCACAACCACAAATAACCCTGTCTTCAGTTTTGTTGTTGTCAATAGTAATTTAATTAACATCAGCCATCATCATCACCATCACCATCAATTGCCGTCGTCAGTCTCTCTCTCTCTCTCTCTCTCTCTCTCTCNGTTGTTGTCAATAGTAATTTAATTAACATCAGCCATCATCATCACCATCAATTGCCGTCGTCAGTCTCTCTCTTTTTTCTGGCAATGGCGCTCTCTTCTCATCATCGCCAGCTGCTGAGCCTTCTCATCACCTCGACCTTCATCTTCTTCAACTGTTGCCAGCTGGTGACAGTTGCTGAGCTTCAAGCCGGAGCTCCAAATGGACTGAAGAATGAAGACGGTGCCAAGAGGGTGCCTCCTCCGGTGATCAAGAGAGATGAGAGCTTCTTCGGCAACGTCGACATTGAGGACATCAAGGAGTCGCACCGGAAGGCAATGCAGAACTCCTTCTTCAGCAGCCGGGGCAGCACTACAGCAGACAAGGTGGACGCTAATAAGAGCAGTGGCGGACGAGCAAGCCGACAAACCTCGAATGACTCTCCTGGTGAGAAGGAGCACCAGGAGTTTGTGCCTCCATTTTCCGGAGACCCGGAGAAGGAGAAAGACAACAACAGTAGCAACAAAAACAACAACAATAACCACAACTCGCCGCCACCGCCGCCAATCTGCTCCAGCGAAACGGGAAAAAAGTTCCAGTGTACAAAACGAGCTCTGTGGTCGTACATGCGAATCGTGAGGACCATCTCCAACCGGTAAGCGAAAATTGGGAAATGCTCAAAAAACCTAACTTACAATTTCTCTTTTTCGTTAACTTCCAGAATAGAAACCATCACCGAAAGTAGCAAACATCAGCACCAGTACACTCTTCAGCTGACGGTGAGCGCCGAAGAGGCTCACCAGCTGAAGCAGCACATTGTCAGCCTTCAGCGGCTGATGGCCGATTACGAGAAGGAGGGGGAGGAGCAGGGGCAGGGGCAGAACTCTGAACCGGAAAAGATCCGCCGTTTCTGCGCCAACCTGGACACCATCGAGGAGCCGACGGTGCGGTTCATCGAGCGGACGGTGATGCCCGTTACCGCCGGTGATCCAATGGCCGCCAAAAGCAGAAGGACCTCTTTTTGGAGTTCGACAAAAGCTTGGATCAGCGGCCACCTAAACATGAAGGGCGTCACCCTAACCGTGCTCGCCCTCATCACCGGCCTCCTCTGCAAGTACTTCTTCTTCCGAAAGGGCGTCCCCTCCTCTCGAAAGTACATCTTCGCCGTTGTCCTGCTCGTTCTCGGCCTCTCGCTGGTGCAGTTCTTCAACCAGGAGCAGGAGAAGTTCTTCGCCGAGCAGCGGAAGAAGC